CAGCAGGAAGCTCATCCTCCAGTCCCTTGCTCTCTTCCCTGTGCTCCATCCTTATCCTTCCTGGTAATTTCAACATACACACTGGTGATATTTCTGACACATGCTTTCTCTTCCTGGTTCTTTGATTTCTTTGATTTCACTGACTTGCATCTCTACAACACACCAGCCACCCAGCAGTACGGCCACATCCGAGTCTACTGCTTCCACTTACAAAATCTCAACTTTGCCTTCCTCTTTAACTACATTTTCCTTCTATCTAGTAAAATGAAATCTCTTTTGATCACACAGGTATTTAGTTGGCAGACATAGCCACCCCTCTCCTCAACTATTCACTTCATTAGGCAACAATAAAGACAGCAAAAAAATGAAGTGTCAATTAAGGCAGTATACAAACCAGAAAAGCAATCAAATTTAAGGAAAATATCAGAAGACGACTACACAGACAGGAAAGAATTGTTTGTCTGTATTGGGGGTAATGGGCTGGAAAATCAATATGTATATATGATGGATTTTCCATAAACTAAAAGACTGGTAGGAAAAGGGATAAAAGAGCAAAAATAATTCACATTTAGAGAATTTATTTGTCTCAATGGTTCAAGCATGTGTTACTTTAGAGTTATTTGTAGTATTAACTCGAACTGGGATATCTGGATGTGATGTGATGCTTCGTGATCCTCTCATCATAACTATTTATTTAAACTGAATCCGCAAAGGAATTCTAATCTAGGTTAAGATTAATTAAATAAACAGCTGTTGAAACAACTGTTTCTTAACTGAAGAATACCCCTATCTGCTTCACTAGGTAAACTGTTCATTTAACTAATGAACAAAAATTTGAGGTCACTGGTAAGAATGTACTGAACAAGTTACAGGGCATTATAGCCATTTTCTAAACAATGGTTTCCCAACTTTGTTACAATTGACCTTTGGGACCAGATAATTCTTTGTAGTAGGGACTGTCCTGTGCACTGTAGGATGCTGAGCAGAATCCCCGGCCTCTACCTACTAGATGCCCCCAACTGTTGTGACAACCAAAAAATGTCTCCAGACAACGCCAAATGTCCTTTGGGGAGTAAAATCATCAGCAGTGGAGAAGGCTGTTCTAAAGCAATTTTTATTTTTATTATTTTTATTTTTTATTTTATTATTATTTTTTTGGCTGCACCTTGCAGCCAAAATAAAAATAAAAATAAAATAAAAATAAAATGTATGATGTTTTTGTCATATTAGTTCCTTAGTTCCCTGACCAGGGATCGAGCCTATGCCCCCTGCAGTGGAAGCTTAGAGTCTTAACCACTGGACCACCAGGCAAGTCCCCTAAAGCAATTTTTAGAGCTTGGTTTTCAAATGTCTGCATTCTCACTTTACATAAGTTTTTGCTCAGATTCCACTCTTCAGGTCTTCCTGACCACCTCATCTAAAAAATAAATCTCTTGCCTTCACTTTGTACCCTCTCACTTTGCTTTCTCTCTTCATGTACTTACCACTAGATGGCGTTATGTTATGAGTGTTTGTTTACTTCCTGTCTTTCCACTAGAATGTAAGTTCTAGAACTTAAGCACAGGGATGTGTCTGGTTCATCCCTAGGATACCTCCAGTGCCTGAAATGAAAACACTGCCTAGTACCTAGAAGTCATTCTATAGGATTTGTTAAATAAATAAACTGTTGACCTCATTGGAGGGAACACCTAGAAGCTGATGTGAAATACATATTACTAAAGTCCATTTAGTAATATACCCTACTTCACATGGAAATGCATTTTGAGACACAGTGCTTAGTTGTCTCTATATATGCATTGTGACAAAAAGGATTCTAAGGCAGCTGCTAATGAGATTTACTGGAGTTTTGAAAATTGGGTTTTAATTGGAGTTTCCTGCACTGGAAAGAACCTTTGAATGGGCCACAATTCACCAATTTTGTCTTCTTTGAGGCAACCTGGCTGTGAAGAATGCAACAAGGAGTCAAAGTCCATAAAAATATTTGATATTCAATAATGATATCAGGGACTTCCCTAGTGGCACAGTGATTAAGAATCCACCTGCCGGGCTTCCCTGGTGGCGCAGTGGTTGAGAGTCCACCTGCCGATGCAGGGGTCACGGGTTCATGCCCCGGTCTGGGAGGATCCCACATGCCGCAGAGCGGCTAGGCCCGTGAGCCACGGCCGCTGAGCCTGCACGTCCAGAGCCTGTGCTCCACAATGGGAGAGGCCACTGCAGTGAGAGGCCCGCATATCGCAAAAAAAAAAAAAAAAAAAAAAAAAAAAAAGAATCCACCTGCCAATGCAGGGGACATGGGTTCGATCCCTGGTCCGGGAAGATCCCACATGCCATGGAGCAACTAAGTCTGTGCACCACAACTACTGAGCCTGCACTCTAGAGACCACGAGCCACAACTACTGAGCCAAATCAGTAGTCTGGCTCAACAAATCAAGGGTAAAAGAGTTAACTAACACAAAACCTTACCTTTCATTCCAGCTCTCTTTGTATCATCAATAGTTAAGAGTATTTCTACAGCACTTTGAGCATTATCAGATAACTTTTCTTCACCTTCAGGCCAAGGGATATCTATAAATACAAATAAACCTGTTAATCATTGCTCAAGACAATAATACACAGAGATAAATGAGATAAATGAATCTATCTTAATAGGAGAAAAAGAATCACCTCTTTTCAGAATATTCTGGAAAACTTGCTGGGGTGTTTCATCGTTGAAAGGGGGAATTCCTGTTAGAAACTCAAACAAGCAAACTCCAAGTGCCCACCAGTCTACTGCAGGACCTGGAATTTAAGAGGAAGCAGCTGAACTTGCAAGCATTTTCTATAAATGTTTGATCAACTAAAACATTAACTTTGGATATTTGGGCACAATGAAGACCCAAAGGTTCGTTTCCTTAAGGCTTTCTTCTGGCTTCCAAACGTGCAAAGACCCAAATTACCTTCCTTTAGGCAATGTGGTAATTACTTTCTTGGAAAATATTGGGCTCCATAAGATGATATGGAAAAACCCGAACGAACTTTTTGGCCAGCCCAACAGACGTTTAGATTAGCAATTAACATGGCTAGTTTAAAAAAAGTTTTAAAAGTTATTAATAACCTCTGATATTCTGGATACTTATTTGTGCTAAATCCTAAAACACAACCAAGGAATGCATTAATCTAAAAATTATTCTCTAAAAGAGAGTATTTCTTAATTTCAAATCAGGAAACAATAACACTCAGATGATTCTATAGCCCACTCATTTCACAAAGGAATGAGATGAGGTAGTAATATTAATGCAAACTGGAGGATAACCTGCTAACTAGGGAAAGCCTTACCTACAGAGGGTTTTTTTGTTTTGTTTTGTTTTTGCCACGCACACCATGTGGGATCTTAGTTCCCCAACCTGGGATCAAACCCGTGCCCGTGCAGTGGAAGCACAGAGTCTTAACCACTGGACTGCCAAGGAAGTCCCTTTACAGAAGGTTTTAATGTGGCTTTATTCCTTTTAAGAACATAGAGGGACAAATTAGTTTAACAAAAAATACTCATTTAAACTGTTGCTTGAGGAGGCAATTAGAAGATAAGTCTTAATAAATGGGTAAAACTGATTTCTTTTTTAAAAATTTTTATTGGTGTATAGTTGCTTTAAAATATTATGTTAGTTTATACTGTACAGCTAAGTAAATCAGCTATACATATACATATATCCCCTCTTTTTTGGATTTCCTTCTCACAGGCGTTCCCTGTGCTATACAGTAGGTTCTCATTAATTATCTACTTTATACATAGTATCAGTAGTGTATATATGTCAATCCTAATCTCCCAATTCATCCCACGACCAGGTAAAACCGATTTCTAAATAAAATCTTCATTGGAAGCATCATTTGTATACAAAGACATTTTAGACAATTACTTTAAACATGACCTTATAATCTGGTTTATACGCTTGTTTAGATACATCTATGAACAAAATTTCCTAAGCAAAGGTTAATTTCAGTCCAAAAATGATTAACTTCAATATAAATTTAGAATTGAGACTCTAGTCTAGAACTAAATTTGCCTGAAAATTACTCTTTAAAATCAATTTCACAAGACAACCCTCAGAATGGGAGAAAATATTTGCAAATGAAGCAACTGACAAAGGATTAATCTCCAAAATTTACAAGCAGCTGATGCAGCTCAATATCAAAAAAACAAACAACCCAATCCAAAAATGGGCAGAAGACCTAAACAGACATTTCTCCAAAGAAGATATACAGATTGCCAACAGACACATGAAAGAATGCTCAACATCATTAATTATTAGAGAAATGCAAATCAAAACTACAATGAGGTATCACCTCACACCAGTCAGAATGGCCATCATCAAAAAATCTACAAACAATAAATGCTGGAGAGGGTGTGGAGAAAAGGGAACCCTCTTGCACAGTTGGTGGGAATGTAAATTGATACAGCCACTACGGAGAACAGGATGGAGGTTCCTTAAAAAACTAAAAATAGAACTACCTTATGACCCAGCAATCCCATTACTGGGCATATACCCTGAGAAAACCATAATTCAAAAGGAGTCATGTAGGGTGCTTCCCTGGTGGCGCAGTGGTTGAGAGTCTGCCTGCCGATGCAGGGGACACGGGTTTGTGCCCCGGTCTGGGAAGACCCCACATGCCGCACAGCGGCTGGGCCCGTAAGCCACGGCCTCTGAGCCTGTGCGTCCAGAGCCTGTGCTCCGCAACAGGAGAGGCCACAACTAAAAAAAAAAAAAAAAAAGTCATGTACCACAATGTTCATTGCAGCACTATTATAGCCAGGAAATGGAAGCAACCTAAGTGTCCACTGACAGATGAATGGATACAGCAGCTGTGGCACATATATACAATGGAATATTACTCAGCCATAAAAAGAAAGGAAATTGAGTTATTTGTAGTGAGGTAGATGGGTCTAGAGTCTGTCATACAGAGTGAAGTAAGTCAGAAAGAGAAAAACGAACACCGTATGCTAACACATATATATGGAATCTAAAAAGAAAGAAAATGGTTATGAAGAACCTAGGGTAGGGGCAGGACGGGAATAAAGACGCAGACCTACTAGAGAATGGACTTGAGGACACGGGGAGGGGGAAGGGTAAGCTGGGACAAAATGAGAGAGTGGCATGGACATATATACACTACCAAATGTAAAATAGATAGCTAGTGGGAAGCAGCCCCATAGCACAGGGAGATCAGCTTGGTGCTTTGTGACCACCTGGAGGGGTGGGATAAGGAGGGTGGGAGGGAGACGAAAGTGGGAAGAGATATGGGGATATATGTATATGTATAGCTGATTCACTTTTGTTATAAAGCAGAAACTAACACACCATTGTAAAGCAATTATACTCCAATAAAGATGTTAAAAAAATCAATTTCACAAAATTCATTACTGTGGTTAAGCAACTACCACCATTTCATTTTAAAACAAGTAGGGAAAAAAAAAAACAAGTAGGATAGCATCATGGAATATGCCATTACAAAAAATAATCACATGCATTTAGAGTGCCTTTTCATCTGCAAGCCACGTTATCCCATCTTCCCTAAGGACACAAGGTACAAACAGTCTCTAGGCTTCTATTTCTATAGTAATCACTATAAAAACATACAAAACACCTCGGTTAGTAGGCTTTTAAGCAGCACTGAGAAAGAATTATTCCAACAGCTCAGATAATATGACCAAATAACAGAAAAGTAGGGGGAAATCAGGAAAAAATGTGCATTTTAATTTATTTTACTTAGGTTAGAAATTAGGACCCTTTTCCCAGCTCAGCCAAAAATGTACTTATGTCATGTCAAAACATACATGATTTCTCCATGTATATGTCATACATACCCATATAATTGAGTCAAAGTCTAATAAGATCATGTATTGTGATAAATCATATTATCAGTTATAAAATAAATCAATTATAATATATATCATTAGCCAGAGATATAGAATAAAGTTGTTTTATACTACTGGCTTTCTAATTTAAAACCCGCTTCTTTAATTTGTAAATTGATACTGTTAATTCCTTTCTATTTTCTAATAATAGAATGATTTAGAAAATTCAAGCCCTTTTGTAGCCACTAATATTAATATTTTTATCAAGCCTATTTCTTCAGTTGCAATAAAAAAAGCTATATCTACACTCTCTGCTACCTTTAAAAGTTATTAAAAAATGCCACATGCCTACAATTGTTTTCACAGAGAAGAGCAATTTCTGTGGATGTCTTTCTGCTCAGAAGACAGAAGACAGTTCATAAATGAGCTGAAATGAAAAAAATTTTGTATGCAATGTGATCTAGTTAGACTTTGTTCAGTTAAATGTGCTTTGCCATGTTCCTTTATGGAGAAATTTACTCACCCAAAGTCAGAGATCCTGCATGTAAGAAAACAGGAGTTAGGTACATCGTTTTAAAGTTATGAGTTCATTCTCACATCATTCATTGAATTAGAAGCCACGTATTGTGCCAGATATAAGAGATACAAAGATGAGGAAGACAGCTTTCCCCAAGGAGAAAACACCCTACTCTGGGAGAGACAATACAGGTAATTTTAACACAATTTTAAGAGAGCTGAAACAAACATATGCACAAGAAGCTGTGGAAACTCAGGCCAGGGTCCCTAAGTCCCCTTGGCTGAGGGGAAGACATGGAGGGCATCAGAGGTCTCAGTGGCATGTTTGGAATTAGAAAACTAAAGAGCCAAAGTGAGTGCTTCTGGGGCCTGGGATTCCAGGTAAGAGGTTAGAGAGCAGGGAATTGTTTTTGAAAATTATAAATTGCTGTCTATTATTTATTTTAAACACTATGTATCAAATTACTTTTATAGAAAATAAAAATTTTAGAATATTTCACTAGCTAGCTAAGATAACTAACTACATGTCCCACTGAAAGAGTGGCAAGATCTTATCAAGTAAATCTTTACATTTGAGGTTTACTTTCATATTGTATCCTAAGTTGGAGAAAATGTAAATTATAATATAGGAAATGAACTGGCAAATCTGTGACTTAGCAAAAAGGACAAAGTACCAAAACTAGTTAAGTGCCCAGCGGAACTTAGATGCTTTGGCGGATAAAGAAAGGGGGATATTAAATGTGTCTGCTTTCAACATTGTAGAGATTATTGACAAGGGTGAGTGAGGGCTGCCAAGGAGCTCTCCTGGAGGGCTATGCACAAGGAGAACTCAGACTCTAGATACAGCAGTGAATAATTAGTTCTCCATAATTGATCAGGGGGTGCTTTATGGAAGAGGTGACATTTGAACTGATGAGCAGATGAGAAGAAATTTGACAGGGAGGTGACTGGGGACTGGCTTTTCTAAACTAAGGCAAAACAAAACAAAACAGGACTTCCCTATCGGTCCAGTGGTTAGGACCCTGCGCTTCGACTGCAGAGGGCATGGGTTCAATCCCTGGTCGGGGAACCAAGACCCCACATGCCACACGGCACGGCCAAAAAAAAAAAACCCTACTAAGGCAAAACAGTTGTGCAAAATAAGGAAAATGTGAAAATAAATGTGTCTAAGTAAAATGGGAAGATAAGGCCTATAAAGAGACTAACTGAGAGGTGAGACTAGCATGAGAGCTCAGAGCCTCGAATCAGTGACCTGGCTTTCTTTTTGCAGGTAGGAAGGAGCCACCAAGCCAAACACCGCCTCTGTTTCAAGGAGAAGAGTAGCGTGAACTCCATTATGCTTTAAGAGGGAAAGTCTGGTGGCAACGATTGCAAAAAAGAGAATGAAGTTGAGGAGATCAAAGAGAAAGTTATTAAATGAAGGAAAGGGAAAGATGAGGTTCTTACATGGAATAGTGGCAGAGATGAAAAAGTGAGGAGACACACTGCAGAGATGTAATTCATCGGATTTAAATGCCTGAAGGTAGGGACAATGTTTGTGTCACCATGAAGATGGTGAACAGAGAGATGGAACAGAGGAAGAGCAAGCTAGAGGACAAGTCGAGCTCTGATACATAGCATCTGAATGACAGTAGAATACAGAATAGGCACTTTGGCCACGTGCCTGCTGCCTAGAGAAAGTCAGGATTAGAGACAGATTTTTTTTTTTGGCCTCGTGGCATGCAGGATCTTAGTGTAGGCCCAACTGTCTATTCCTGAACCCAAACTAAAATAGACCTGGGGAGACATTTAGAACAAAGACAGTAGAGGGAGTGGAAGGCGGGACTTCTCTGGATCATTGAGACTAAACCAGCAGGCCAAGAACAAATGGCTGCATGTCTTCTTTCCTATAATAAAGGGCCATATATGTGAGAAAAGAGTATTGCATGAGTTCATTTTCTTTTACCTTATGCAATCTAAGTACTAAAGAAATTTAAAACAATTTATCTGAGAAGAAAACATAGTGATACTTCAAAAACACAAGATGTGCATGCCTTACCGTGGGCCCTGCCTAACAGCAGCTCTGGTGCGAGGTAGTCTGGAGTTCCCAGAATTCGCCCATCATCCACGGGGGCCGCCCCTCTTCTCACACTCTTTGGAGTTCGGTATGGAGTTCCTGACTTGACCTGATCTGGGGTCTGCTAATTTCAAAAGAGTTTAACACACAATAAATATCTTAATTCCTTTTACAGTGAACAGAAATGCTAAAACAAAAGAAAAGCTAGGCTGCTGGACATAAAAGATACACTCAAATACTTGATCAGTTTTGAAAATGGCCTTGTAACTAATTATAATTATGAAAAGTCCTATTGTAAAAAGCCCTAATTATAATAATGAAATCCAATAGCTTAGATAACACCAATTATTTCAGTAAGAGCTGGAAATGCAAGAAACAATGAAAAAATCCACAGGAAAAAATTCTTGATAGGGTGGATCAACACAAGCTTGAGAGCAGTCACAGAGGGAGGTTGTGGCTGACAAATGAGTGAATTACTAGGACAATGCATACAACAGAACTACACATAAATAAACTCTCGTGCTAACTGGCATTTATGGTTTTAAGGTATTTTGTTGTCTCACAAGGACTCTGTGGGACCAGCAGGACAGGTGTCATTATATTTTACAGACAAATGGCAGAGGCTCTGAAGATAAGGACTTCTAAGTCACTCAGTAAGTTCTAAATAGAAAACTCAAGTCTTGTAACCCTACAGTCGAGGTTTACACTTTCTGTATTATGATGTCTCTCCAAAGGAAGGAAAAAATGAAACTTTGGGTTTAAAAAGATAAAGGTTTAGGGAAAAAAAAAGATTTGAAATATCTATTTTTCAACTTTCTTCTATAAAGGAAAGAGATCATCTAAATATGTGCTTAAAAGGCAGTAAGGTAGATGGACTTTAATTTTTATCTCAGAGTTGCTGTGATCAAGTGAAAATATGTGATTGTAAATATGTAGACATGTGATATGTAAATATGTGAAAGTATACAGAATACAAATGAAGGAGGCAGTGGAGTTAAGAATGATAAACATTGCTACCTGCTTTACCTTTCTGTACTAAAACCTCCAAGGAGCCATAGATTCCCAAAAAGCAAAACAAAACTATATGATTAATATTATATAGTCTAGCTGACAGGCAAGTGTCTGGCCTTAATAGTTTATTTTTCTAAAATCTAAAGGACAGAACATTAGCAAGTGATCACATACCTGATATGGCATGTAGGATCTTTCTTTCTGAGTAGGGGTTATAGCCATGGGATAAGAACCACTACAGGCACATGAAATATCCATCATATCTAAAGAAGTAATGCTCATTTTGGATGGTTCTGAGCTATTGGATGCATTAATATGACTGTTAAAACTCCGAAAAGCCACAGCATTTCTTTTAGAGGTTAATGTTTTCAATGCCTCCAAAGAAGGAGCTAACATTTTTCGGTTGCTGTCTTGGACGGCAGGACTCTCATCACCTCTCGGCAAGGTGCTTTCTTGGCAGCTGGGGGATGCAGGAAGTAGGTCTTCAATATTTGATTCTTCCAAAGAGGATTCTTTGATGCTTTTATCTGGATCTAAGGACTGCCTTCCTAACGGACTTTCCATGATGGAAATTCCAGGAAAAGATGAATCAGAGTCCATGCGAATACTTTTAGGAGTTCTATCATCATCGGAACACAGGAAACTAGAACTTAAGTAGTCTTTCTTACTATTCTTGTCACAGTCATCATCCAGTTCACACATAAGGTTTTTTGCTATCATTGGGACAGGTGATTTTTCTGGGGTTTGTTGTTTATCAATGAAAGAATTGCCCATGTTCTCCTTATTAGCACTGTCATTTTGCTGATCTCTGTATACCGACAGCTTAAGGTCCTGGACTTCAGCTGTTAAGCCTGTCCTTTGATTGGCATAACCATCTCTCATTTCATTACTACTCTTATACTCGATACAATTTTTTTTATTCTGTATAATTTCCTGACAAGGACTGGAGTCAACTAACTCAAAACTTCTTTTACAACTTCTTTTCCCAAGGTGTTCTTCAGTCACCTCACTGGAATCCACAGCACATTGACGCGACTGATGGTAACCAGACTGGCTTGTGTCAGCAGCCAGATGAATATTATTTACATCCAGTTCTCTTGCTTCCCAAGAAACTTCCCCAGAAGAATGTTTTTCAGCAAGGTTTCCACAAGAGTTTCCAGTGGCAGGATCGGCACTGCTGTTACGAATGGGAGAAACGGCTAACTCAAGATCCCTTTTATTGAAACTTTTGGTCTCCATGGCATTTGTAGATTTTGTACCTAAAGGCTTTTCGACTGTATTCCAACTCATCATTGTAGAGCCCACTGCGTTGTCACTTTCCTAAGAGGGAGGAAAAAACGGTTAAAAAAATTATGTAAAGCTGAGAATCTTTACCTTTTAAACCTCTGCCCACTTAAGTGGGATAACTGACCCCATAAGCTACGATGGGTAGCTCTTTCCACATTCCTGTGGAAAAACAGAACAATGATAATGGAGAATTAGAAAGCAATATAAACAATTATAGTATACATTTATATACATTATTTTGAGTGAAACACTGGTATAAAATTTAAACCAACTATTCTATAATATGTATTTGATGGTATATTACATGTTATTTAAATAGGAGAAATTAATAGGAATATATTCAGGCAAAACTGAGGGTAAGGCTACATTATGTATATATCTGCTGTGCAAAAGGGATGATTGTTTTGTACTTCAATCACAGGACATGAAATACAGTTAATGGAAAATTACAGGCTAAAAATATTGTTAATGTAAACACGTATCACTTCATACAAGTATAATAAAACCAAGCTGACAAGATGAAGCTAAACTAACGGCAATCTGTAATTAAAAACCCAAAATAACAGGAGTTAATATCCATTGTCAACAATATAAACTGATGATGCATTGATAACAAAGTGCTTTTCCGGAAGACTGTTTGAGTTCCAACTCTGCAGGTGCCCTTGTGTGATCAGAATTTTGGACATAATCTTGCAAACTGGCATATGGTAATCAGGATTTTTATAAGATTACTCAGTTAGAGTGAATCTTCAATAAACCCTAATAGTGCATATTTTTGATATGTGAAAGATCGAACTTTACTAACTTACTTAGTAATAGTAAGGAGCAGTTAGTCATGAACAAAAAGACAATTCCTAAAGTACAACTCACTGCTCTGGAAGCACAGAAAATGATGTATTTGGGGATTAGCATGTTTATCAGTGGTCCCCTGTGGTCCATTGTCACTCCTCTGACCTAACCTGAGAGGCTCTACTGTAACCCAATCATTGCATTCCTTAGGGATGCAGCCGAGGGAGGAAGGTTAAGCTATGTATAGTTTGAAATATTATATAACATGCTTTCTTGAATAGAAAAGAGGTAAAATAATAGAATGGAAATCTGGCTTTTCCTGAAGCATTTATTACCTAGAGGGCAATCAATAAGGAGAGAAGGAAAAAAGATTGAGAAACCCTGCCTTAACTAAAAAATAATTTGACCTTACTCCTCAAATACACATATCCAACAATAATGAAGAAAATCATGCTACTGAGAATATGGAGCAAATACAGTCCAATTTATTTTATCAAATGGAAGGTTTACTCTTTGTGTGTTAACATTATTCTAAGCTAACATTATTTTGTCAGCAAGCTAACATTATTTTGTCAGCATTCTAGGAAGGAATAAAGGAAACTTTATTATATTTTTAGTTCCCCTCAGCTTTAATAGCTTTAAAAAGCCCCAAACAGAATATATAAATTAAGTAAGATAACTTTCAGTAAATTTATTCACTTGGTAAGCAATCTCCTTAGAATAGATACTTTCAAAGACACACCTACATTACCTTTGTGGTCTAAAAGTTATTGCTGATCCAAAAGAGTTACCATTCCATTAAATGAGAAACTGGCAGAAAACACTAAAGAAGGAGGTAGTATAAGTTTAAAATAAGACAGGGTAAAAAAACTCAACAATCTAAGGTCTGTGTCAGGATAGGGAATTAAAAAAAAGAAGTCCATCCAGATGCCTAGAAGCCAAACATTTACTATTAATATACTGCAAAAATAAAAAAATTGGAATCTCATATACTGAGCAAGAATAATTTCACATTTGAATGAGAAATGAAATATTTCAAGAGAATCTGACAGAATATATAGGAAAAATGAAGAATACCTTGACTGCCATTCATGTAACCATTTCATTTCCTTACAGAATTTGTATGAAAAGGTACATAGCAGTTCTATCATTAATTTGACACACATAGTTGGTTTTGGGTAAGGTGAATGTCACTCTGACCTGGCAATCCTTTTCCCATCTGGGACTGCTGTGGCACTCGGATTCCACACTGGACATGAAGGTGTGGGATTGACTGCTGGTGCTGGATGTTGCCAGCCTTTTCCTAGACTGGAGGAGATGGGAAGTTAGACACTTCACAGGCATCCCGGGGTGTGAGGCAACGGTTTCAAGACCTGTGGGGAAGAGAAAACATTGAAGTTTATGTCACATCTTTCCTACTTTCCTGCTG